TTACAGTGGAACTTTGTTTCTTGAACGTCTCCCATCTTGAACAATTCGCTTCTCAACCTGACAACCCTTTCATGCTGATACCTGTATGATCAGTCACGCATCTCTCAGGTGACAAAGGAGAGAATGCGAGATTCTGAGTCAGTTTACCACTGTTAAAATCTCAGGCTATTGTGCTGTGAATATTTTTGTGTTTTTTGTGTGTTTTTTTGCTTTTGTTGCTGATTTTAATTATGGTTACATTTTCATTTTTTACTGTACATTTCCTTTTTGTTAAATTTCCATTTACATTTCATGTACTGTTTGTTTTTAAAGTGTTTATAGATTAAACAGTATAATAGACATGTACTGTACATAAGAAAGGTTAAAACAGGGACTCATTTGGGGGTCTGGAACAGATTAATTCAATTTACATTATTTCTAATGGGAAAAAATGATTCGGTTTTCAAATGGCCTTCCGGAATGAATTAAGTTTGAGAAACAAGGTTCCACTGTATTGTGAAACAGTTTAGAATTTATAGCACAGTATAAGTACTGTTGCTAAAGAAAAAGAAAAAAGAAATAGAACTTTGCCAGCCACTCCAGAAACTCTCCTTTTGCCCTTTCCCAGATATAGTCACATTCCTTCCACTTAAAATATCCTCAATTGTGACTTTTATGGTAACCACTTCTTTGGGTTTCTTATGGTTTTATTAAGTTTTACCACAATAGTTCACATTTCAAGGAGATGGCTCCTAGGCCTTAGGAAAGACATTTCTGGCATGAAAAACTGGCAAAGAGTCAATTTAACTTTTTAACCGATTTACATACATCTCAAAGAGACAGAAAGTATTTGTAATTTCAAGTTTTCTAAAGGAAAGTCTGGGCAGAAGGAAGGTATGGGGAAAACTAATAGTTCTCCAGAGGTGACCAATAAATTTTGTTTGTTTGTTTTAAGAACCAGTATTAACTCAGGTGCTTAACCCATTATAGATGAGCTTCGCTCTATGCAGTTATCCTTAATGCAGTTCAAATTGTCCTCTGGCCAGTGGGAGCCTCTTCAAAGCTGGCTCCTGTGTCCTTTTGACTAACTGTAGAGGCTTTGAAAGCTACTTTGTGGTCTGGTATGAGAAGAGGTACAGGCCATCTTGTACCTTTCCTACCCTGAAATCATCCATTTTTTTCAAAAAGCCCTGGTTTCAGGACCACATCTGCATTGCTACTGATGGATCATTGTTTCTAGGCCTTTTCAGTCAACTGAGTTCATATATATAAATTCATTCATATCTCTCTAGTTTGGGTTATGTTATGTTCTTATTTCTCATTTTGGTTACCTGAAACTTGTTATTTAGTATTTTAAAAAATATATATTTTTATTGATTTCAGAGAGAAAGGGAGAGGGAAAGAGAGATAGACATGTCAATAATGAGAGAGAATCATTGATCAGCTGCTTCCCACACTCCCCATGCTGGGGATTGAGCCGGCAACCTGGGCATATGCCCTGGCCAGGAATTGAACCATGACCTCCCAGGTAATAGGTTGATGCTCAACCACTGAGCCACGCTGGCCGGGCTGTTAATTAGTATTTTTCAGTAAGAGCTCATGGGAGGAATATTCTCTGAGCTCTTGCATGTTGATAATAGTATGTGCTCTTTATACTTGAAAGTCAGTTTTGCTGGATATACAGTCCTTGGGTCACATTTTCTTATCCTTGAATACCTTATATATATCACTCTAATTTCTTCTAGCATCAAGCATCGCTGTTAAAAAGTCTGGCGATATCCTCATTTTTTTTCTCTTTTATAAGCCACTTGCTTTTTTTGGCCTAGGATACTCAAGGATTTCTCTTCTGATCGTCCACTAAACTTACTAGACTATGTCTTGGTAGTAGTTGTTTGGGTCCAGTATTCTTGGGCACCTGGTGTGTATGTAGTTTCAAATATTTTTTTCTTAAATTCAGGAACAGTTTCTTGAATTTTTTACTTCATATATTTTCTTGATATAGTACATATTTTATATTAAGATATATACATTGATTTAAAATATACTTTCTTGATTTTTATATTTATTCTGTTTACTTGCTTCAGAGATTTGTATATTCTGTATTAACTCTTCTTTGCTTGTCTTCCATATTTGTCATTTTTATTCAAATCATTTTGTTCTCTTTTAAGACATCTGTACCATTAATTTTTTCCCTTCCTCCTATTTCCCTGAAGACATTTTATTGTGTGTCTTCTAATGTAGTCCTTGTTTTTTTCCTTTTATTTCTAATTCTTTACTCATTTCTGAGTTTTTCTAATGTCATTTACTGTGCATCTTTCATGTTTTGAATTATTTTTAGCTGATTTTACAAATAGTAATTTGAGCTACTCTGTGGGCATGTATGGTATATCTGGCGTGCTATCGTTATAGAAATATTATTCTGCTCTTTTTTTTCCTAATAACTTTATATAGAATTTGACCTCAATACTTTTCTAGTGTTTATTTTTATGTGAAATTAGCTTTCTGGAACTTTTAGAAGGAGTTTTGTAGTTAAGGATGGTTTCTCTAACTTCACAGAGCTCCCTCTTTTGTTGTTTTCATATAATGTTAAAAAATATGGTGGCTTAATGACTCTGGTCCCTCCCATACTTTTATTTAGACCAAGAATTAGACCAAAGGCTGCCTGTTTTTATAAAGTTTTACTGGAACATAGCATTACCCGTTCATTTACATATTACTTATAGCCTTTTTCAGGCCAGAGCAGCAAGTTGAGAAATTGCAACATGTACTCTATAGTCTACAAGCCAAACATATTTACTGTCTAGCCCTTTTTTAAAAATATATATATTTTATTGATTTTTTACAGAGAGGGAGAGAGAGGGATAGAGAGCTAGAAACATCGATCAGCTGCCTCTTACACACCCCCTCAGGGGGGGCACTATTGTAGAAATGAACCCCCACCAGTGAGTTTGGAAAATTCACAAGGAATCATATTGCTCTATCCATTGAGCCAAACCGGTTAGGGCAATTGTCTAGCCCTTTAAGACCCCTGATTTAGACCTTTTTTCCTTTGTCTGTATTCTTCTCTTTGTCTCTATTTTCTATTCTGTTCAATTGTGGTTTTATTTCTAGCAGTGTCTTCTCAGGGGGGGCACTATTGTAGAAGTGAACCCCCACCAGTGAGTTTGGAAAGTTCACAAGGAATCATATTGTTTCAGACCTTAGCACTCCTTGCTCACATTTTAAAAATTGTAGTAAAATATACATAACTTAAAATTTATCATTTCAAGCATTTTAAAATCAATAATTCAGTGGCATTAAGAATATTCAGAATGTTGTGTAATCATCATCAGTATATATATCCAGAACTTTTATAATATCTCAAACTGGAACTTGTACTCATTAAACAATTACTCCCTGTTTTTCCCCATTCTCCATAACCCCTACTCTACTTTCTGTCTCTATAAATTTGCCTATTCTAGGACCTCACATTAGTGGAATCACAGTATTTGTCCTTTAGTGTCTGCCTTATTTCATTAAACATGTTTTCAAGATCATCCATGCTGTAGTATTATCAGAATTTCATTCCTTTTTATGGCAGAATAATATTCCACTGCATGTATATACCACATTTTGCTGATCAATTCATCTGTTGATGAACACTTGGGTTATTTCCATGTTTGGGCTACTGTAATAATGCTGCTATGAACATTGGTATACAAATATCTGTTTGAGTCTCTGCTTTCAATTATTTTGAGTATATATCTCAGTGTGGAATTACTGGATTATATGGTAATTTTATTTTTAACTTTTTGAGGAACTGCTACAGTGGCTTTTCCATTTTTTCACAACGGCTGTTCCATTTTGTATTCCCATCAGCAGTGCACGTGGGTTCCAATTTCTCCACACCCTTGTCAACATTTAAAAAAATATATATTTTTATTGATTTCAGAGAGGAAGGGAGAAGGAGAGAGAGAGAGAAGTGTCAATGATGAGAGAGAATTATTGATTGGCTGCCTCCTGCATGCCCCACACTGGGGATTGAGCCTGAAACCTGGGCTTGTGCCCTGACCAGAATCGAACCGGTGACCTCTTGATTCATAGGTCCATGCTCAACCATTGGGCCACACTGGCTGGGCTGTTTTTTGTTTTATTTTCATAATAGCTGTCATAATGGATGTGTGGCGGTATCTGTGGTTTTGATTTGCATCTCCCTAATGATTAATGATTAATAATGAGCATCTTTCATGTGCCTATTGAGCATTTGTGTATCTTCTTTGGAGAAATGTCTATTCAGTTACTTTGAATTGCATTGTTTTTGTTGTTTAGTTGCAGAAAGTCAGTTCTTTTTATATTTTGTATATTAATTCCTTATCAGATATACAATTTGAAAATATTTACTCCCATTTGTGGGTTGTGTTTTCACTCACTAGAGGGTACCCTTTGGTTATTTCCCCCCCCCCCATTAATTAGCAATTTATAGGGAGATTATAAAAATAATCTTTAAGGTTATATAAATATCCTCTTCCTCATCAAATTTTCACTTACTAGTTTAAGCATTTATTGATGATTCTTTCTCAAATCAACAGCTACTATTTTTGAGCACCAACCATGTTCCAGGTACTGTGTAACATGTATCATTTCTATGTCACAGATTGGGAGACTGAAGCTGAAGAGGTGAAACAACGGCACAAGGACTCAAGCTGGCAAGCGTGGAAATGGGCGTAGACTTCAGGACCATCTGCTCCAAGCTCACATGCTACAAGTTGGGAAGCAAGTGTTAGCCGGAAACTTGGGACTCCAAGCATCAGGTCTATGGAGCAAGCCTGTTTCTGATGTTCCTCTCTTGTGCTTCCCATACACTCCCTGACTTAGAGGGGGTAGGGCAGACGGACTTCAGGGCTGTGGGTTATGACTTGCTGGGTGTGTTCTGCAGTCGGTAGGCACTTCCCCAAATAGAGCACTAGCCATTCAGACCGATCCCCAGTTTGCAGCCTCATGTGTCACTGTATCTGCCGTGCATGGCTGGGTTCACAGAACCAGAAGCCTCAAGCTGTCCTTTCACAGGACAGGGGATGGCAGGTCTTGGTAACCTGGCAGGTTCTGGGTTAAACATCCCCATTCTTCCCTCTTGTGGGGCCTTAGCTGAGAGGACCAGAACATAGGCAGGGTGGGTCCTGGGGCTGGGAGCCAGAGCCCTGAGTCATAGGGAGACCAAAGAGTCAGGGCCAGGGCAAGACACGCTGAGCCAGAAAACCTGGAGGAAAGCCATGGTCTGAATGCTGGGAGGAGGGAGAAGTCACCAGATGCAGGCAAGGTCACAGGAGGGGACCGAGTCAGGACTGGAGCTAGGAATAAGCTCCAGCAGGTCAGGGTCACTCGGGGCTGCTACAGGAGATCCTGACCCTGTGCCCGGAAATCTCCAGTGCTAGGGGCCGGCTCTCCAGGGCTGACAGTGGCCTAAGTGTGGTAGACTGGCCCCGGCTGGGGATGTATGAAGCCAGGAAGGTGCACTAGTTGCGAAGCCCTCCTGGATCAGGCTTCGTGGTAGACATCCACCTCTTCAGTTACAATAGAACATCTCTAACAGGCCCCTCAGGCCTAGACCCACCTCTGCTACCTGGGGGTGCAGCTCTGCGTCCTAACAGCTGGAGTCACCCAGCTCCGTGCCTCATCTGTGATTACTCAGTCAGGCCCCCACCCTCTCTTTGGATGAAAACTGCATTCTTCAAGAGCTTTACTCTCAGAGACTTTCCATATAGTGGCTCTTTGGTCTTTAAACTATCTGGAAATAATTTCAAACTTTCAAAAGTTGCACAAATAAAAGCAGCACAATATAGAAATACTCATTTCCCTCCTGAACCATCTTAAAGTGAGTTAAGTACATCATGGCCCTTTCTTTACCCTCTAATACTTCACTGTATAATAACCGCTGTTTTTTCTCTTCTTTGTAACTAATAAGCAGTGTGGGGAGACCATGCAAATATCATGTTTTTTATCAAAATTGCCTCCTAGATTGAGCATCCACTGACGATTCTTGTCTATGCCAGTCCTTACCATGATGGGTGCAAAATATTGATTTGCTAACTCCAACACTCCTTCCACGCTTTGCATTCTGCCCTCAGCATTCTCCTATGAATGAGAGATCTTCTCCCATTTATGTATTGATGGACTCATGGTATGGACTCATGAATTCAAATTTTTTCCATGGTTTACAATTTAATTATTAATTATTTTTGGCGTTCCTAATCTGTTTGGTTCAGTGGATAGAGCGTCGCCTGTGGACTGAAGGGTCCCAGGTTCGATTCCGGTCAAGGGCATGTACCTTGGTTGCGGGCACATCCCTAGTAGGGGGTGTGCAGGAGGCAGCTGATCGATGTTTCTCTCTCATCGATGTTTCTAACTTTCTATCCCTCTCCCTTCCTCTCTGTAAAAAATCAATAAAATATCTGTAAAAAATCAATAAAATATATTTAAAAAAAATTATTTTTGGCGTTCAAATTGTCCCAGATTTGCTAGTGGGAACTCCTTTGACCTTTCTTCTCCTTCTCCTTCTCCTTCTCCTTCTCCTTCTCCTTCTCCTTCTCCTTCTCCTTCTTATTTTGTTAATTCTTATTTTGTAAATACCCAAGGATATTTTTAGAGAGAATGGAAGGGTGGGGGAGAGACAGAGAGAGAAACATTGATGTGAGAAAGACACATCAATTGGTTGCCTCCCACATGTGCCAGGGATTGAGCCTGCAACCAAGGTATGTGCCCTTGACCAGAATCAAACCCAGGACCCTTCAGTTCGCAGGCTGACACCCTATCCTCTGAGCCAAACTGGCCAGGGCATTATTATTATTTTTAGCACTTCCTTACTTTCTGGTATAACAAGGGATTCCAAGCATATCTTGCACCAGCCCTGGACTCAGTCATTCCTCTAAGGAGCCTGCTTCCTTTTAGTGGTGAAGGATAGAGATCAAGTTCTCTGCTGAAATTATCACAAGGCCAAAATTAAGATTTTGGCTGAGCTCTTACCTGGAGGCTCTGGAAAGAATTAACTTTCAAGGAAATTCAATGGCAGAATTCAGTCCCTAGAACTGAGGTCCCCATTTTGTTGTGGTCTCTCAGCTTCTAGTGTCTGCCCCCTATTCCTTGCTACATGGCCCCCTCCATCTTCAAAACAGCCACAGTGGGTGAAAGCATTCTCGCATGGAATCTCTCCAACTTCTGTCAAAGATAAACAGAGGTGGACACTAGTTGCAGTTTTAAGGACAGAGTTTAATCAGTAACAACTATTGCAGTAGAGAAAAGAGTCCAACGTGAACTGAACTCAACTTTGATTTGCACAGAGATGACTGTTTTTTTTTTAATTTTTTTTATTGCTTAAAGTATTACAAAGGGTATTACATATGTCTCCTTTCCCCCCACACCTTGACAATCCCCTAGCCTCCCCTACCCCCCAGTGTCTTATGTCCATTAGTTATGCTTATATGCATGCATACAAGTCCTTCAGTTGATCTCTTACCCCCCCTTCTGCCCCCCTCCCCTCCCCGGCCTTCCCGCTGCAGTTTGACAGTCTGTTTGAGGCAGCTCTGCCTCTGTCTCTATTTTCGTTCATAAGTTTATAATGGTCTTTATTATCCATGAATGAGTGAGATCATGTGGTATTTTTCCTTCATTGACTGGCTTATTTCACTTAGCATAATGCTCTCCAGTTCCATCCATGCCGTTGCAAATGGTAAGAGTTCCTTCTTTTTTACAGCAGCATAGTATTCCATCGTGTAGATGTACCACAGTCTTCTAATCCATTCATCTACTGATGGGCACTTAGGCTGTTTCCAGATCTTAGCTATGGTGAATTGTGCTGCTATGAACATAAGGGTGCATATATCCTTTCTGATTGGTGTTTCTGGTTTCTTGGGATATATTCCTAGAAGTGGGATCACAGGGTCAAATGGGAGTTCCATTTTTAGTTTTTTGAGGAAGCTCCATACTGTCTTCCATAGTGGCTGCACCAGTCTGCATTCCCACCAGCAGTGCACGAGTGTTCCTTTTTCTCCACATCCTCTCCAGCACTTGTCGTTTGTTGATTTGTTGATGATGGCCATTCTGACAGGTGTGAGATGGTACCTCATTGTTGTTTTGATTTGCATCTCTCGGATGATTAGTGACTTTGAGCATGTTTTCATATGTCTCTTGGCTTTCTGAATGTCCTCTTTTGAAAGGTGTCTATTTAGATCCTTTGCCCATTTTTTGATTGGATTGTTTATCTTCCTTTTGTTAAGTTGTATGAGTTCCCTATAAATTTTGGAGATTAGGCCCTTATCAGATATGACATTGGCAAATATGTTTTCCCACGCAGTGGGCTTTCTTGTTGTTTTGTTGATGGTTTCTTTTGCTGTGCAGAAGCTTTTTATTTTGATGTAGTCCCATTTGTTCATTTTCTCTTTAGTTTCAAGTGCCCTAGGAGCTGTATCAGTGAAGAAATTGCTTCGGCATATGTCTGAGATTTTGTTGCCTTTGGATTCTTCTAGAATTTTTATGGTTTCTCGTCGTACATTTAAGTCCTTTATCCATTTTGAGTTTATTTTTGTGTATGGTGTAAGTTAGTGGTCTAGTTTCATTTTCTTGCATGTATCTGTCCAATTTTCCCAACACCATTTATTGAAGAGACTATCTTGACTCCATTGTATGTTCTTGCCTCCTTTGTCAAATATTAATTGAGCATATTGGTTCAGGCTGATGACTGGGTTTTTTAAGGGAGAATGAGGTGGAGTGATGGGAGGGGAGGGGGTAAATGGGGTTCAAGTAGAGTCAGGGAAGTGAAAAATTGTAAAGGGTCAGTTAATGTAAATGCAATTAGGCCAGCTCTGTTTGCTAGCCAGCAATTATTGAAGTTAAGATTCTATCCTCCCAGAAAGACTGGGAGAAAGAGGCCCTGCTCTCTGGTATTGACAGGAACAAATAGTTAATTCCTGGCAGTCTGGAGCTTTCTTGGGCAGATACTTTTAGGGGGCTAGGGGAATCCTACAAACGTGGCCTTGAGCAGTTAGAAATTATGTTAGTGTTTGTTCAAGTCTTTATAGGCCAAGATTAATGCCCGGTTGATAAGAGGCTCAGAGAAGTGTGGCTAGACCCACCTGGATAAGTTCCCTTTTGCCATATAACATAGCATAATCATGGGAGTAACACCAGGGGACTAAGGTTATAGGGGCCAACTTAAAAGTCCCAGCCCTCCTAGCAATTGTCCTGGCAAGCAGTCTGAACTGTTTGGGGCTCTGAGCAATGACAAGGCTAACTCAAGTCTCTGGTCACCACAAATGGGAGGAGCCTTAGGGTCCCAACAGGAACTTTCTTGGCAATCATCGTGTGGAAACAGTGATGGAGGCTAAATACATCTTGGAGAAGGAAGGGTAGCAGCACCCCCTTGAGTTAACTGGAGTAAAGAACAACTGCAATAGGGCTCTTCCGTGTGGCCGAATCCTGTCTGTGCTTTGTGCAAGAACATGCACCCCCCTCACATGCCCTTTACTGCTTGCTCTGGTTTCAGCCTCATTTGATTGACTTGGCCCTTGCTTTTGGAAGCCACGTCAGTGCATGTGGTTGATAGGAGCACAAACTCTAGGACAGATGAGTCCAGGCTCTGCCACTTATAGGCTGTGGATCCTTGAAATTACTTAACTTCTTTGTATCTTGAATTATTTCTTCATTTACAAGATGTGAATAATAGTAGCTACCTCCCATGATAGCTGGGGGAATCAAATGAAAGCATGTTCATAGAGTGCTAATGCTTTCCCAGCACATAGTCAGTGTCCAATAGATGTTAGCTGTCTGAAGGTATCACTTTGTCTTGCTCATCTCTGGCTCTGTACCCCAAGTTCTTGGCTTTTTGGTGGTCCTTAGTGTTAGTCTCTGGATTCTCTCAGCGCAATGGCTCTTGGTTCCCAAGAGTCCTGTCCTGGAGCTTGCCCTACTCTTACACCTGCTAAGGGTAGAAGCCTAAGAAGGATGTGCCCTGCATATCAGACATCTGCCTCAAGATACCCAAACAAGAAACAACCTTCTACCCCTCAGGAGCCTTGCATGACACTGTCTTTCTGCTTAATTCGGTTCAAAATGCAAGTCTCAAGAAAAGGCATCTCTTCTGTTTATCTATTATCATGTAACAAAGCACTTCAAAACTTGGTGGCTAAAATAAGCATTTTATTTTACTCATGCTTTTGTGAGGCAGGAGAGGGCTTGGTTGGGTGGTGCATCCCCAACCCATGCTGGGGCAGCCGGGGCTGGAGGATCCACCTGCAAGATAGCTTCTTCACTCCCAGGGAGAGCACCTCTGTGTGCTGTCTCATCCTTCTGGGCCTTCAGGATCCTTGGGCTTCTCACAGCATGACTGTCAGACTTCTCACATGGGAGCTGGCTTCCCTCAGAGTGAGCATTCCAAGAGGCCCAGGTTGAAGCTGCAAGGCTTCTTATGGACTATGCTCAAAGTTGGAGAACATCATTTCTGCATCCTTTTTAAAAAAATACACATATTTTTTATTGATTTCAGAGAGGAAGAGAGGGAAAAAGAGAAACATTAATGATGAGAGAGAATCATTGATTACCTGCCTCCTGCATGACCCCTACTGGGGATTGAGCCCATAACCCGGGCATGTGACCTGACTGGGAATCAAACAATGACCTCCTGGTTCATAGGTCATTGCTCAACTACTGAGCCATACCAGCCACACCAGTGTGAGTGGCTGGTAGGAGCACAAGCTCTAGGTCAGATGAGTCCAGCTCTGCCATTTATAGGCTGTGAGACCTTGAAATTACTTAACTTCAATTATTTACAAAGCCAGATCGATTTCTAGGGGAGGGAATTAGATTCTACCATTCAATGGGAGG